CACTCGTTCCTTATTTGGTTCTAATTTAATTTGGAAAGGCAGCAGGGAGACAGAGGGCACTTAGTCTGGTAAGTGCTATTCCCTTGATGGGAGTTAGTAGCTTGCACGGCGTGCGTGGTGTTGACTTCATAAGCTGACCTTTACCTCCATCAGGTTCATTTTCATTTATAATATTTAAAAAAGAAAAAAAAATCACAACCCCCAACCTCTTATTTATTCTTTAGGCAGCGAGGACGTAAATCCTTCAGCGTGTTTGGATTTATAGAATTACTGCGCTTTTGCTGAGCCTCACGTCCCACTCCAATCAAATGACACAGCTTTCGGTAACCGTGCGGGTGATTGCGTTTTTCCTCCCTCCGCCTCCCTCCTAGCTGCTCCTGATCCGTGCCTCCTCATGCTCTCTGCAGCCTTTTTGGGGAAAGGTGGGCCCTGGGCACCCATGGGAAGGGACAGGAGGGGGACCAGGCAGGTCTCAGGGTTATCAGTGTTTGCGCGTGAAGCGTAACAACCTCCAGGTATCTTCTTTCCTGGCCCAAATAAAAAAATGCTAAAATGCTTTTATAGGAGGCATTTCATCAGCTGTGCTACAGGCCTCCTCTGAAACCAGAGCGTTTCCGTGGTGGCTGGGGAGAGGGGGGAGATATAAATATCTTTCTCAGCTCTGCTTGGCTTCTCCCCAAGATAAATAGAAGTGAAAGTCAAAAGTAGAGGCTTGGCCTTCTGAAATCTCTTCTCGAGCCCCCGGGGACCTAAGCACAGGATGCTTTCATGACGGGAAGCCAGCTCCCGGTGTTTCAGGGGTCTCAGAGGATGATGTTTGAGGGGCCTCCCTCCCCATTGCCCAAGGCAGATCTCGGCCGTACGATGGCTCGGCTGTGATCCCCACGCCTGGCGTCCGGTGGCTTCTGTCGTCGGGAGCCTCAGGGAGCAAAGAGGCATCGGTGAGAAGCCGGCTTGAGACGAGAGCAGAAAAATATGTCTGTGGTCGTCCTCTAAATCTTGTAGCATGTTTACTCTCAGAAAGTACAGCTACATTACCAAAAATCAATAGTTCTAGCAGCGTTCTCCCTGGGAAGCACACACGCTCGGACACACGAGAGGTGGTAGGTCTTAAAAAAGCCAAGGGAATACAAAGTGCTTTGGTACAAGGGTTTTGCTTCACTTCTAGCAGTGTACAAATGGAGGGCCCTTGACCTGGGCAGTGTCTTCTGGGACTTTCTGATTGTCTTTCTGGTCCGATGTGCCTGAGGCTGTGCGAGGCAAGAGTGGGGCTGGGGGGAGGGTTTGTCTCATTAACTAATTTTTCCTTTGAAGTACATGTGTTTCGTAAGAAAAACAGGTTGTGGTGTGCAGAGATAATATAAACAAGTGTTTGAAAGACTCTTCCTTTGGCTATTTTGTGTAAAGGTTTGACTTCCAGGGCTGCTGGCAGGACCGGCACATCCCAGCATTTCATTTGTTTCTTCATGTTTGCAAAGACTTCATTCTACAGAAATAAATGCAACTCGTCCCCCTTCTCTTTTAAAAAAATCCTTTTCAAATCCTAGTATCTCCTTGCTTACCAGCGCACCTACTGATCCTAACACAGAGGTGTTAGGAATGGAGAGAAATTATTTCCATTTTTCTTGGGTGGAGAGTGCTCTGTCGATATGAACGACCATTTTGACGGAGACGGGTGTTAAGGTTTGGGGTGAGTGGGCAAACTGGCGGCAAGCACTGCAGCAAGCCCCGGAGAGCTGGAAATGATCCTTCCTTCTCAGATCAGCCAACACAAAAAGAGAAAGGAGACCAACCCCTTTTTACCCCCATCTCTTATTAATGAGACATTTTATCCTAAGTCCTCTAACATGAACTACGCAGGCTTTTGGGAACATAATTAATCTTTAATTGTATAAATCTTTAATTGTATGAAATGGAGTTTGTATGGCTGTAGTCATTTCTCTTCTCTCTTTTCCTCCTCTCCCTGTTTGAGACGCTCCCTTAGCACAACTTCTTTTCAACAGGGTGCTCCGCTTTAGGGCAGCGGCCGCATGGAGCCGCACGCACAGTGTCCCTTGAAGCCAGGCTGCTGTGGTGGGGCCTCTTGCTGGGATGGGGACCTGCGTGACCCCCGTGGCAGAGCACCTGGCTCCTGCTGAGTACGCGCTCAGAAGAACTGGCAGCAAGTTGCGGCTTAATATGAGTCCGAGTGATTAGCAGCGAATTGCTTTGGGCCCTGTGCAAAGTAAGTCCTTGTGCCGGGGTCCTAAGGGACAAGCGTCACCCCAAAGGCGGGATATGCTGCAGGGAGGTGCAGGTGAGCTGGAGGCTGCCCACCGCCTCTCCTTAGTCTCTGCTGTGACTAAATGGTCTGGTGCAGAGAAACCCAGTCCTTTGCAACGTTCGTGCTAACCCAGATGCTTTTTGCAGAAGCAGCCTGAGGGTCGACTGCCCGTGCTGCCACGCAGGCAGGTCCGGGGAGGAGGAGGTGGTGCCTGGCAGGTGGGCTGCTGGCAGCAAGAACTCTGCAGCACGTCTGACTGCAGCTGCAGCCGTTTCAAACCGAAGCAGGGGCTTAGCAATCGCTGAGAGCTGGCTCGGCACGCATAAACACCCCTTCTCTTCAGAGGTGCCGTTCTGACTGTCATGTGTCGATGGGGAATTGCTGGCCTCAGCCAAATCCTGAGTGGAGAGTTGTCTGGGTGAGCTGGCAGCCTGGAGCAGGGGCTGGATTCATCACGGTGCCTGGTGTCTGGTCTGCGGCCCAGGTAACCTGGGTGGTGCTCCCTGGCCGAAGCCCTGCTTGCTCTGCCCTGAAGATGGGCAGGGAATCACTTTCCCTAAGGCACTTTTCCTTTGTGGAGGAGTGACACAGAAACCAGGAATTGTCTTGAAAGCAACCTAGCTGGTTCCCTTGCAAAAAGAGGTATTTGCAAAGCAAGAATACCCTTGGGAGAACCAACAAAAGAGCAGTCCTGCCCAAACCAGTGCCAGGCAGAGCCAAATGCCTTTTTGGAGCGGGTGAAGTGCAGCCTTTCAGATGCTAACTAGGTATTTGGGGTTTCGATCATTCGCTGTGTGGAGGAATTGATGCACCATTGGCTCTAGGAGGATGTGTTGTAATAAATGCATCGGCTTTCGCTGGCCGTTAGCGTTGGTCTGTAATGGCAGAAAGGGGTGTGTGACTGTCTTGAGCCAATGCCTGCAGAGACAGATAGAAAATTCAGTAGGAGACAGATGGAATGGACATTTCAGAGATCTCCACGGTGGGGAGATGTCACTGCTCAGGCCCTCAGTGACTCACAGCACTCCTGTTAAGCAGAGTTTTGAAATTAGCATCTCCACTGAAGAGCTTTTCCTAAGGCATGACTGATGTTTCCAGGTAGAGCAATTTCCTGCATCTTAATGGAATGGGAGGAGCACTTTACACTTGGACACGATGCCTTTCCAGCAATATTGCTGAACTTCCCTGTAAGAAATTCTGATGTCATTTTTTTTGGTCTGCTTCATAGATTGGATTAATCAGCAGAGACACGCCCTCCGGGTCCCAGAGTTGGCTTGCTTTCATTAATTTGCAACTCAAGTCTTTGCTGAACAAAGAAGGATTTGTTGAACAAAGCGGGGTCAGTGCTGGGATGAAGAGCCTTGGGCCTCCAGCCTGCTAGTTGGAATTAGGACTGAGCCGTAACTGTAAGTCGTATGTCCTGCGGCCTGGATTGGTAAAAACGTTCTGGCCTCAATCCTTGCTCCTGTGGAGCCTGCGACCTCAAGAGCCACCCCGAGGTGGTGGCCTTTGGGGCGGTGAATAGCCTCCCTGAGCTCCCTAAGCGAGACACAGTCAGAAAGCAAGGTAGGGAAGGTTTGAGCAACTGCTGCTGTAGGTAAAAAGAGGTGTTCATTTCATACTGTTTACCTTAAAGGCTAAGTGCAGTCTCTAGGGGGAAAAATAATTTAAAGAATAGTTTCATTAAAGGCAAAACAAGTCTACAAGAGTAGAGGCTTTTTGCAGGGCTGGCTCTTGCCAAGAGACCCATGGACCAGCTGCAGGCTGCATTTCTCTGGGTGCCCCTCAAATGGTTTTCTTCCTCTCTTTCAGCTCTTTGAGAACTTCTTCTTCGGAGAGGTGCAGCTGGACTCGGTGCGTCTTTCCCAGAGGTTCTCCTCGGATGCCTCTGGCTACTACGCGACATCTGGGCAGCTGACCTTCTCCTGAAGCGGCAACGGGGCTGCCACAGCGGGTCCGCTCATCGGTGAAATGTGTTATTATAGGACACGAATTTTGAACAGGAACCTGGGAACTCCAGGCGGGGATGCCTCATGACTCCTCGAAAGCACATTGCAGCTGGGAACCATGGCATTTCCCGCAGCTTTTCCTACACGTATTGCCTGCTCGCCCTTCAGGGGGAACTGGAGTCTTTCCACCTCCTTTCCTTTGGTAACCAAAATGTCACAAAGTTGCCTGTTTGATGTCCGTTGCCTGTTTGTTTTCCAAGAAAAAAACTAGAAAAACTGGTGCAGGTGGCTTTTGGGGAATCACCAATGTTTAAGCATAGCTTTGTTTCAGAAGAAGGAAGTTTGTTCTTAAAAAAGTATTTAAAATCCAAGAGAGCTCCCCAGAGCATGATTTAACAATATTGAGGTCAGGCATTGCTTGGATCTCCAGCAGTGTGCCTGTGTGATGTAGAACTCCAAATAAATTAATTCCCTTCAAAAGCAAAGTGTTTATCTCCTGTTGCATTGATAGTTTCTGTAATTAAACTTCCAGCACACAACTATGTTAATAAGAAACATTTATGGTAAGAGCTCTTTCCGGTGACCGTTTTGGAGTGTGTCAAAAAACATATGCCTTATAGGTGGTTTCGCCATTAAAAGAAGAGCAAAACTCTTTGATACCATTGTGGATCCTTCAGAGATCTGAAGACGACTGTTTTTTCTTGTAAATCTCCCTGTTTGGTAAGAATAGCGACACAGGCTTTCAACTCGCCCGAAGACGAGCGCTTTGAAAAATGGAAGATGCTGATGTTTAAGTTGTTTTGCAAAAAAATGGTGGTGGCAGCAGCTGCTGCTGCTGCCCATTCCTAGTTGCTGCCACGAATGTGGAATTGCGCTGTCGTCGAGACAGAGAGCGTGTTAACTAGGGACAGGCCTGCTCCAGCAGCACCCGCTTGTACTAGTGATTATTTTTAAGAGGTTTTCATCCCATTTTCTCCCTCCCAAAGCGAGCTGGCTGGCTGGCCATGCTCTGACGGCATGCACAAACAGCGGTGGGAGGCAGTCAGGATTTGGGATGGCTTTCCTTTTTTCCCCAAATGCGTTGCCGGTTGTATTTCCAAGACCAAATTGCCCATCTCTGCTTGCAAGCCCGCCTGCCAGGAAATCAAATCATCTGTGGTTTTGCAGGTTGCCCTTTACCCTGGAGTCTGTGCGTGTACCCAATTACAACCATTGGGCTTTTTGTCTCTGCTTTTCCTTGCAGCCGAACGCCTTTGTGCTCTCCAAGCGGAGGAGGAAGGGCCCCCTTCGAAACCGTTCGCTCGGCGCAACAGAGCACCGGCGTGCTCGCTGGCAGCCCGATGTAAGGAGGTGCTGAGAGCACTTAACACCGGTTGCTGTCATCTTTCCGCCAGCCTGAAGAGGTACTTGGCAAATCTCATCAGCCGCCCAAAGAACAGACCTGGAAGCTGCTCGCACAGCCGCCAGCTGTGCTGCCTGCCGCAGGAAGGGGAGATGCACCTCGGAAAACTTCTGCCTGCTGGGTTTTTAACCGCTCTCGCCAAGAAGCTGAGCGCTACAGGACATGGGGTGCTGTTTGCACTCTAGTTTTCCTTAATAGGGCACTGGTGGCATTTCTATCACACCTGCTTTCCTCCGTTGTCACCATTGGCGATTCTGATTTCGTCGTCTTCATTGAGGTGGACTTACAGTCTTCCCACCTCCCTAACGCAGGAGTAGCTTTGACCTTGCAAACAGCATCTCGGCATGGAGGCAAACGTGGCTTTTCTACAAAGAAGGGCTGTTCTGAGGATACTACTCCACTTCGCACTAATGTAGACATGTTTTAATGACGATTATTTCTGTGACCGTTTGGAAGTTGGTCGAATTTCGGCAGTAAGCGGCTTATCCCGCTTCTTTAGCCTGGCACGGCTAAATTCGTTTCACACCTCCGTCCCCGGGTAGAATTAAGGGTTCTGGTCTGTTCCTCTTATCCGTGGAGTCGTAGGTTAGGCTGTGATCCAGCAAACCGTTGTGTGTGTACTTAAATTTATGCCTCGCTTGATCCGCTTGTATAATGTTAAGCACGCACGTGAGTGTGGTGCAGTGGCAGCTCTGCTTTGCCGGTAACGCTTTGGAAACAAAAATGCTTATTCTATAAATGAGAGGGGCAGAGTTGGGTGTTGTATCCCCTTGCCCTTACACAAGGGAACTACTTGCTTAAATAAAACACACCTACTGCTTTTTGGGGGGTCGGGGCCAGAAGAAAATGTACCGCGGTGGATTTACCAAGGGTTTTTTACCTTTTCTGTCATTATTCATAAATATAATTAGAACAGTTTCATACTGAGCACGATAAAACTCTGTTTTATGCATGGTCCTGCACTGATGAATTGAAATCCCGTTAAGCCAGGCAGTGTTACGGTTTTGCAAGATACAATTTAGTACTTTAGAACTTGCCTAAAACTTGTTAAAATGGAAATCTGCGGCTCTGCTTCTTTCCCCCATCCAGGCTGCGTTGGAGGCCCACTTGCAATGCCCGTGTCCTTATTGCGCAGAGGAAGAAGAAAGTTGTTTTATGCCGTCGTTTTGCTCAGCTGCAAGCTTCGCTGGAGCCCAGGTCAGGAGTGCGGCTCATTGTTAACCGTAAAGTTGAAAATAACACCGTTTTTCTTAAACGCAGCGCCTGGAAGCTGTATTTCCAATTGCAGCAGCCTCGCTTAGGGTCAGCATCGCTGCTTCAGGGACAACGGCTGCACCTGCTGTGGG